GCCCTGAGATATCTGTAGCAACAAAGCTCCAAGCTCGTCGCGAGATGTCGCTGGGCGTGTTTTGGTAAATATGCTTCCGACTACCACAGTGTCACCATTGATGTCGATACGCCAGCTAGTCGTGGAAAGCGTCAGTTGACGGATCTTGCTTCTCAGTTCCGGTCTTTCAACGATGGTGCGCACGAGGTACATGACACTGTCACCTCGAGTGCGAGGCAAGCTGATCGTCCGATATAAGAGCTCATCACCGATGGCTTTGAAGCGACGCGATGTCCGATTCAGGTTGCCAAGTGTCGGGTTGTCGCCCTCAAGGTATCTGGCTATCTCAAGCAGCAGCTCGTCAGGGAGGTCGTTGATGGAGCGGAGGTCATGTCGAAGGATGTCCGGGGACAGCTCGCTGACCACTTCTCTCAGCTTCTCTTCGATCACTGTCGGCGGAAGATCCATCGCGACAAAAGTTCCGGGCGGGTTCCGTTGGCGATGTCAAATTGCTAAAGCAGTTAGCCAAGGCGTACGATGAACTGACGTGCATGGGGTGACTCACTTCTCTTCGAAGTTACGCCAGGATGGCGGGTAACAAAGGCTTTTGACGACGGTTGAAAGGTTCGCGATAAACTTTTCAGCTTTACCAAGTTGTGTATTCATTGACCACCTAGGCAACCAATGAGCGTGCTGCAAACACCGGTGTCAGGCACGTGATACGGCGGCGACACACCGCCCGCGTCCGCTTGTAGCACGTCAACCTAGGGAAAAAGTGAACACCCTGGGGTCTACATCGATGTTAACACACCCACTTTGCATGTACACATGTTAGTGTAGTCTGCAGACCTGTTAAGCTTTTCCCCCGTATGAGGTGGTAGCGCAACGTATTCCATGCTCATCTTTTGATGTCGCGTCCAATCTGAAATGACTTGGCCGTTTTCTTCCCATTGTGACTACGTACCTAGAACCGGGGTATATAGGGCTCGTCTGAGACTTCAATCTCAGTAGACGGGTACAAATATGGACCTAGATCTTCTGGAATCCAGACACATCTCCCGTTTACCCTCTCGCAATGTCCTCTCCAGTTCCATCTAACGAGGTGGTGCTTAATGACGCGCCATTTCACTGCAGCCCAGAGATCTTTGTCGTACTCATCACCCCAGACTCGCTTGTTGTCGAGCTTGTTATGGATGCGCAGAACCTCGTCGAGATCAACGTCTCTGATGTGTTGGCCTCTGCAGTAGTTCTGATACCATGGCATGCGATAATTAGGAGCATTGGGATGATCTCGAAGAAGCTTTCTCAGCTTCATACGCTCATTATACACCAGCGCGTCGGCTACATCGTCTTTGCCGCGGTTGTCAAAGATCCTTGTGCCGTCTTCCCTGCAGGGATTTCTGGGGTCGAAGTCTTTGGGATTTTGCTTGGTTCCTATCCCTTGGTCCTTGGTCCATTGGTCGTATGGTACAGGTAGATAGTCGTCATCGATCTCGTCGAAGCTTTTTCCAACGTGCTTTCCATAGGTGAAGACCCACTTTGAGCCCGGCATTTCTGGCTCTCTATCGAGGAAGTGAAATTTGAGAGCTATCCGGGTGTAAGTGTGTTTGTGCCCACCGGTGGCGTAGATCCAGGAATTGATCCATGAAATCGGTGCTTCACCAAGTTTGCAACCGTTGTAATAGCCGCCAAATTCACTATCGATCTTGTAGATGTTATTCGCCCAATGAATGAGAGCCTCACGTAGACCAGGTTTTGAGTTCACCAAGGCATCGTCGTCTGCTATTCTTGCTAAGTCTTCGTCGGAGAGGTCCTCAAGGGTGCGGCCTTTGTGTTCTCCGAAATCGAGCTGATAGACCTCAACTTTCACGCGCTTGTTGTCCGGCGACAGTGAATCTTGTCTTGAGAGGAGGTCCGGAGTCTCCTCGCGCTCCCTCTTGAACGACATGGTTCATGGCTGGCTGCAGTCGCTTCTTGACAAAAATCGAGCGTTCCACGTTGCCAGTTGCAGTACGTCAGTAGGAGATACTATGCGTTGCAACCCTTCCAGCACATGTGGTATTAAGGAACGAGTTGTAAGATATAATAACCCAATAGAGCAATGAATGGGACGTTGGATGAAGTGGAAAAAGAGGTTTCGGCTCAAAGTAGACGAGATGGACAGAAGCGGGGTGTATGCGCAGACCCCCGAAGCTATCCCTTCCAACAGCCTTCATCGCTGGGCATTGTCCAGCAGCTTCCATCGTCTTATCTTCAGCCTATCACGGACGTCCTGCTCCGCATCCCTAACGTTCCTTCTGCGGCGTCAGAGAGTTTGCGATCATTGCTGCCGTTTTGCCGGCGTTTCGTCCCCTTGTGACGTCAGACCCGTCCGCGCCGGCGCCGTTCCAACCACGCGCGTTTCGTGCCTTGCATCGATGGATACCACTAGGCCCGGCTCGATCCATCGCGCGGTGAGTGAGCCCAGCTGTCGCAGCATTGCAGTCACGAATATTCAACTATAGAGCTGCAACAGAGGAACTGAGAATATAACCGGCAGCTTCCTGTCCCTCGCTACTGCAGGGGTCAATGTATCGTATGATTCGATGAAGTACCGAGGTACATCGCCCCGGGCCTTCTCGACGCATCGCACCTCCATTTCGCGGCTCCGCCACGCGCACACTACACGCAGCAACGACGCCATGCGGTCCTCATCCTTCACATCTTTGCCTGTATGAGATGCGCTATGCCTACTTATCATTTTGCGTGAGAATTTTCCGTGTACGATTGCGCGTCCACTGAAATTGCACGCGACGTATGCGACAATGCCTTTGGTACAGGCGTTTAGGACACGGCGGCATTAGCTTCGTCAATAATGTGGATAATTTTCGCATCAAATTCATCCTATTACACGCCATCCATCGCACGATAACATTACGAGACCAGAAAGAGACCAGAAAATCTCCCATTCGATCGTCTCTGAGCTGCCTCTCATACCACCCACCTCACAACAGATCTACCGCTAGCACCTCATGAACAGCTCCATCAAATCTCATCGAGACCTCGCCTCAGTGAAATGCTGTATGCGGGAATGTCTGTTGCCCCGTTCGCGATCGCGACCTCGCGGATCATGGTGTATAGCATCTTGGTCTTGGGCCAGCGCGCCCGAGGCGGCATTGTGGCTCCCCTGCTCATGAGCAATTCCAGTAACTCCTTGCTGTTTCGGTTGAGAGCAACTTCCATCGGCGAAACCGTCTTTGTCGACCGCTGATACCTAGGATAGGCGCCATTGACATCTGCACCTGCATCCAGGACCGCGGCGACGACCGGGATGTCGCTGACCTTGATGGCGCAGCAGAGGAAGTTGGTGAAAAGGGTTCCGTCGTTGATTTCCAATTCTTCGTCGTCCAGAAGCAAGTTGACCATGTTAACGTTACCGGTACGACAAGCAATTGTGAAGAGGCGATTATTGACCAGGCTGCCTGATGGATTCAGGCGTAGAATAGACTCTACTACGTCTGTGTTTCCGTTCTCGATGCCGATCTCGAGCCACCCGTTGTACGTGCGCTTCTCAACCCTGCGGAAAATTGTCTGGCGGAACTTGACAAGCTCATCCACGAAGCGTGTATTGCCAGCCCGGATAGCGGAGCAAATCGCTTCTGCAAAGTTGTAGTTGTAAGAACCTAGAGTATCACGTTTGACCGACTTCTTGAGGTTATTCAGGTGGTGTAAGACTGCATCGAAAAGCTCGTCTTGTTTCGAAGTCACAGCCATCACCAGAGGGCCTTTGCCGAAGGTCGTGTAAGGAGACCAAATCGCGGGAGGCATTTGCGCTAGCAGAGGGCGAATCAAGTCAATCGCCTGAGTCGACATAGCCGCTACGATCTTCTCCCAGTGGTGAATGTCCGCGCCGTTTTCTGGATTGTTCCTCAACTGAATGGCCGGGTGACGGTAGGAACGCCTCCAATTCATCATCATATACATTACTTCGTCAGGACCAGTGACTCGGACAAGGCCTTCAACCATGCGGGTCTCAGTCTCCTTCCGCTTTCCTTTCGGGATTGAGAGTTCCGAAACCAGATAGTCAATCATTCGGTGGATCGTATTGAGTAGCCGGTTGTCGACATCGGCGGGCTTGTTCAGATGGGCAAGTACATACGTTGTGATGTTGGCAGTGATGACTCCCGGGATCAATCCAACGATATGTTTGGGCTGATTGCTGAGCAGGTCATGCTTGATTTCAGCGGCGAAAGTGTGACATACGCTTCGAAGTTTCCAAGTGGCCCTGGGGTGTTCAGAGTTGAGCGAGTGGATGACGTTTTGGAATATCTCCGTGGGTAGATCCAGAAGTTGCGCCATGTTGAGTTGTTCTTGCGCTCGGTTGATGTCGTATACGGCGACAGGGTCGTTGGAAGATGGAGTGATATGTGGAGGAGCTAGTGGCTGGGGTTTACACTTTGTCAGAGACGCTAAACAGCGCGCTAGTGCCACATTAAGGTGTTCGTGTGAAAGGCCTTCGCCCTGCCTACGGTAGGCCCAAGCGCTGAAGAGTTTGGTCACATTCACTGCCACAATTACGAGAAGTGGCTCGAATTCGTGGCACATAAGTAGGGTTTGCTGCATACATAATATCAGATCTTAACAAGTAAACAGCTTCCAAGATAATGTATCCTTCTACTAGGCATGTCAGGCGTCAGGATATGGGAACGTTGGTCTGTACAGTGGTGGAAATGGAATGGAATAGTTCTAGGGGTAATTCTGTGCTAGGCCTTCAGCGATGATGGTGGGTGTGTGACCCTCGCTACTTGAAGCCTTACCAACTAGATACGCTTGCACCATGTGTACTCGCATAGTCTGCCCATCTGCAACTCATAGTACCAAAGTATACCCCTGCGCCCTTGACCCACCGCATATCATTGCCATGTTTGACGTGCACCAGTGACAAGGTACCTCTTGCTTTCCATGCTGCAGATTTCCATCAGTTGCGTATTAACCCAAGGATGTACCAGAGATTGCAATACAGTAACAGCGCGGCAGTGCTTTTACTTGGTAGTTATCTTCTGTTTGGTGACAGCGTTCTGCATGACGTTACGCATCTTTTTCGATGTCGGCCAAGTGCTGATAGGAGGAACCTTCGCTCCGCATTCGATCAAGCAGACTACCGCGTCGTATTTCTTGAGATGAATGGCGTACTCCAGGGGTGTAATGGCACCGCGATGTCTCAAGCAGTGGTTGTCCATGACAAGATCAATGTTTGCACCAGCTTCGATCATGGCGCGAATGATTGAACTTCCGCCTGCTCTTATTGCAGCCGCCAGTCCCGCCCCCCGGAGAATGCTGGAATCTAGCTCCATCTTTCCAAACTTGATCAGTGTGCTAACAATAGTGGAGTTACCGGTCTTGAGACCCTGTTCGAAGATAACCGAGTGGACCTGTAAGGGCTTCGCGAGTGGTTCGGCTTGGAGAAGAGCTCTGAGAACCTCGCTGCGTTGTGAGGAAATAGCACGAAGAATCCACCCAGAGAAGTATGTGGCGTCAGAAAGGGTTAGGTACTGGCAGAAATAGCCAAGTAGTAGGTTTACCATGTCAAGGCGGTCATCCATGATAGCTAGCGTCATAGCGTCACACATCCTGAATAGAGAACCGTACGTGAATAACTGGTTTCTCTTGAACCTCTTGGACTTGTGTTGATCCAGGCCCTTCATAATCATCGCGATCGTCTTCTTGTCGTTGTGCAGAACGCAAGCTACCATCGGGTCGCGAAAAGCTCCCAGCGGGAGTGACGCAGGAACCTGGGGCAGTAATTCTGCGACTGTGTCATGGGTACCTACATTTATCGCTACAATGAGCTGGTCGTGGATCGAGATGTCTCCGCTTAGTCCTTCGCGCCCATGCTTGTAATGTCTCTCTTGGTAATAGGAAGGAAAGTTGCGCCACCTGACCGAAGCGTGGTTGTACCTCCAGAGGAAGGTGAATGGATCTCGACACGTGTGCGCAACCACAGCACAGACTTCCAGAAGGATGTTGCGATCATGAAGATTGTCCGTATCCTCGAGTATCTTGGTAGCATATTCGACCATCTTAAGTATCTTGGCGGGAAGCTCCGGTAGAACATCTCGCGGAGTCTTAACGTGATAGGCGAGGTAGTACTTCAAGTTCTCTTTGTTCTTGAGTACGCGGAGATCGGGCGAATTAAGGAATGCCTCTGCAGGTTGTACAGCTAGAACATTCTCGCTGATCTCTTGATCAAATGTGCCTATACAATGATCAGCATTGACTGCACATGCAACCAAGGCGATGGGGAACTTACGGCACACGCGACGCATCTTCCAAGACTCGGCCACACCAGCGTCGCTGACGAGGCAGTGGACGATGCGCTTGAAGATCTCAGGCGGAAAGTCGAGCAAGTCCATCGCAGTGACTGAAGTCGTTACTCCAAGCTCGTCACTTCTCGAATCTGGCTCATGTTAGTACATATCGCAATCAAGCCGACGGGGGTTATTTACGTAGTGGTTTCAGTCGTTGCAGTCGCGACACAGTGCGGTGGAGAAAGGAAGAAAGCAGAGTGGGTTGCCTCAATAGGGAAAGGGCCTGTGTGCCAAGCTTTCTTGGTCCAGACAGAGGTAAAGGCAGTCACAATCTTCGGTCACCTCGACTTATGTATCGCCCTGGCAACTGCAATTCGAGGCGAGCGCGATTTGATGACGAAATAGGCCGTCATAGGTATCAGGCAGCCATGAGTTTGAGCAAGAGAAAGTAACTTTTAGATAATTACAGTGTGGTTTCGTGAAACTTGAAGGGAAGGAAACAAACTTCTGAACGCATGCAAAATACCGAACTCGCCAGCCAATTTGTGTGGCAAAGGTAACTGGCCCATCTACAAGCTCCAGTGAGCGATGAATAGCCGCGGTAGAGACATACATCTACGAGGCCCTACAAGTCAGGGTGATGCGACATTGTCACCCTCAGCTCCAAGTTTCTCAATCTCTGCCCTCTGCATTTTCTTGAAATACTTGTATTCCAGGACGTGCCCACCGTCGTTCTTGATCTTGGCATGTCGCAGAATCTCATATGTAGCCTCATGCTTTGACCAGCATGCAATGTTTGGTAGGTGTGCACCTGCGTCAATCAGAGCTTGGATGATGGACGGGTTCTTCTTATGCATTGCCACTTTTAAGGCTAGCCTTATCGTAGAGTAGTATGGCGTCGGATAGTTGACGTCAGCGCCAGCCCGTATGAGTAAATTGACGATTTCGGGGTTGTTTGAGTTGATGCCTGAAATCATCGCACAGGTCGCTGCCGCTGTCTCAATGAGGTCTTCCTCTACGCATAGCTTGACGATGTCTTGGCGTCCTTTTGCGCATGCCAGGGAAAGCTGTGAGGAGGTGATAGGATTCGTCGTCTTTCTCTTGATATAAGGAACGTCTAATACACGCTGGAATACCGCCAGACTCGACTTGCGGATGGCTGTGTCGAGAAAAGTGTTGTACTCAGCTTTCAAGAACGTGAACCCTGCTTGCTTGTACCACGTGGACAGTATAGTAAGTAAATCTACACGGGAATGCTCAACGGCGGCCATTATGGCCCATGAAATGTTGAACTCGGTTATTTCCCATTCTCGACAAGCGAATGGGTCTTGCTGGACGACCATTCGTATGCGCTGGGCTTCGACAGAACCTTGCAAGACCGCGTCTAGCTGTTCCAGTATGACTTTGACTACAGAAGCTTGTCCCTCTGCAGTCGCCCGCAAGAGAACACCTCCGAAGACGGGATGAGTATCGTAGCTGCGCAGTGATTCCATCGCCGTTTTAATGAGTCCAAGTTTTCCGAGGATTGACGCAGCCACAAGCTGATCAATTGCTCCGAAAGGGGTGCCGAGGTATTCAGGTTTCAAGCCTTTTCTGCTCCCATAGCCTCGCAAAGCGCGTATCATCTCGTCGTTCGTAGTGTCAGCACCTAGTCTGTCGCATAGGTCTCTTCGCAACCCTTCTTTCTCACTCTCCGTGACAATTCCCATCTGTTCTGAAAGATAGCTGATCATGTCGTTGATTCTTTCGGGTAGGTATGGGTGTACATCCAAGGGTACCTTGCTACGATAGTAGACATAGAGGCCAAGATTGTGGCGCAACAGGTCGTTCGACATGTAGGTGAGGTCTTTCAAGGTCCGCTTGGCGAAGATGTCGTATGTTATAGCTAACCTGAGTGTGCCTACACTCGGTCAGCTTCAATTCGTAATATGAGACCTCACCACCGCTTTACTCACCACAGACCCCACGGAGCTTCCAGGCCTCGTTAACGCCAGCGATAGAGACTAGCTCATGAACGACGTTCTCAAACACTTCCACAGGGAAGTCGAGGAGTGACATGGCCGCAGATACCATTGGTGGTGACGTTTTAATGTTCTTGGTCTGTGAGGTGCTCATTTTGGCTTTGATGTAAGGTTGAGGCGACTGGGGTACCTTGGTAGGCTGGCCACTTGCCAATGTATGTTTCGTGGTCATGTCTTTGTAGTGAGATCGACTCACAGTTATCGGTATCAAGGGATGAGAATGAAGAGAAGATTGGAGGAGGAGTATAGTAGTTGGGGTGCTAGATATACTGCTCTAGCGTGGCGCTAGCGCCATGTTCTCGCTCTTGGTGAGAGAACACGTTCTGAGGGGCGATAATACGGCCAGGTAAAGGTAGAAAGGTCACCTGTACTCGAGAGGCAGAAATTCAGATATATGTTTGCAGCGTTCCTGTCCGGCCTCCCGGCAAACACATCAAATCCGATGTTTCCTTCGCAACTTCTCGAGCCTATCCTCCTCGCTCTGCAGATATGCCTCCTCGTCCTGCTCCATTCTGTTCTGGCTCTCCATGAACGTCGGGACCTTATCTCCACTTTGCTTCATTCTGGCGTCTCGCAAAGCGTTGTACGGCTCTGGTTCCGATATCGTGTACCAAAGGTCGATGTGACGCACGACAGCGCCTCGCTGAAGAAGATACTTGACTGCAGCCATCGAGTGAGCGGCGGCGAACTCCAGCGGACTTTCATTCTGGGCTGGTGCCCCACAGTACTTTTTCGGCTTGGTAGTCGGGTAGTCCGTCTTGTTGATGTCGGCGCCAGCGTCAAGAACTGCTCCGATAATAGCAGTGTCGTCGTCCGCGGTCTTGATAGCGATATGGAGTGGCAGATTTTGAGCGGACCCCTTATTGACGTCTACTTGTCCTTCTGATAGCAAGACTCTGACAATGTCTAGACTATGTGCCTTGCAGGCATAAAGAAAGACGTCTGTAGTGACTTTTGGCCCACGTGGAGAGTGTAGCACTATCTGGCGTACTATCTCCGCGTTCGGAGGCTGGACGAATTTCACAGCTTCTCGCAGACTCTGCACGTACACATCCCTCACGCCTTTGTGATCATGGTACGACCTCTCCAGAAACTCTGTGAGTCGACCGACAGTACCGGCAGAGTGCTGGTGTATCGCAAGCCTGAAAGCATAAGGTATGTAGAGGCTCTCGAGAGTACTCTTTCCCTGCCGGCGCTTCGCATGATCCAAGATCAGTTGTAAGGTGTCTTGATCGTCTGTAACCACTGCTGCAAGAAGCGGACTCATACGTCGAATCGCCATGTCGTGTTCTCCGAGTTGTGGTAGTAGATCTTCGCGCATCTCGTAGTCACCAAGCGCTGTTGCCGCGGCAACCTTCTCCTCGGATGTGAGCCCTGAAGAAAAGGCGGTTTTGCACCATTGATGATGTAGATCGCAATAGCTCTCTGGAGGATCTGGGTACCGTATAGTGTAGTAGAGGTCAGGGAAGGTTATCGTTTGTGCCATTACGGCGCATACATCAAGAAGCTTCTTCTCCTTCTTGTCGTTGGCAATGTCCAACTCTTGACAAAGGTATGAGTGTGTGCCCAAGATGTTGGCCTAGTATTGGGATTAGTAAAAGAATGAGTAAAAGGTCCCACGTAACAGCGCTAAATTTACGTACCGACAAGCTGCTCATACTGTTGACAGGCTTCTTGACTCGGTAGTAGAGCCATTCTGGCATTAAATGCGACATAATCCTACCACACCAGCGCCTATCTGCGTACCGTAACTCTGCCGTCTGGTAAAGAAGTATGTCGTCTTTGATAGCGCTCGCAAAAGTGGTGCAGACGAGACGCTGCTTCCACGTTTCCCGCATACCCTCGAGGCAGAATAGATGGTGTGCAATGATACCGACAACCTCGGCGGGCACCTCGACGTGGGCGAACCGCATGGCGACGACGTACCTTCCCAGCTTCCCAAAAATGCGATTTCCGTTGGATTGTTGGTCGCAAAATGGTGGAAGCCGAAACCTTGGAATGGCGTGGGCCACTAGCGGCGACAGGATCAGGCACCAATCACGTGCTCACGCGTCTCGGTGCTCCCGAGGTTCCTACCTAGGTAGGGTTCCAGGGTCCCGCGTTGGTGAACGCGTCAACATAGCGCAATTCCCCTGTAGCCAGTGAAATGACATGTGATGCGCAATGGTCAGTCCTGCACCTCGTCCTCCATGTACTCCTGCAGCAAGTCCTTGCGGCCGGCGTACGGCGACGGCTCGACATACGTGCCCTGGAAATGTGCCATCCAATTCTCTCCTATCTGCGCCGGCGTGCTTTCCTGGTCGACTGGGATTGCCCTGTTGCTATCACAGACGCTCAAGTCGACTAGGTCGAAACGAACATTCCCCTCGCCTTGTTGTATCTCTCGCATAACGCGTGTGAACGATTCAGAAAAGAAGCAGCAACTGTCCATGAGACTAAGCGGGCTTACGGGACGTGGAGCGAGCGGTTCGATTGCTCTTTGCCATCTGGCATCCTCGAGCATTTGCTCAAGGAGAGCGAGCGTACTTGCAGTGTTTCTGGAGTGAAAGGTCACAGAAAATCGATCGGGAGACAATCTCGATGAAAGAGCCACAGCTTCCTCGAACCACCGTATGAAGGCCTGAGAGACGCGCACTCGGTCTATATCTCCATCGATATCCCAGGTTCGCCCATCTTTGTAGCAACTTACAAGTTCCTCGAAACAGGGCTGACCGACGTTGCCTGTCATGGCGATTGCGATGGCGGTAGTCTTTGTATCCACTTGGCGACATATACTGATGCGTGGATAGTGTTGCATTATGCTGACCAGACCCAGACCATGGCACTCTGGTCTTGCTACGCTGGCATGGACTTCATCAAGCACGATGTTCCGGATAATAGATAGAACGCTCGGGTCTAGACCATTGAGAAATTGTATGGCAAGCGCAGCTGCGGAAAAGTAGCGCTTGGTGGGACCGTCGACACACATGGGACCGGATCTCTTTGGCGAACTCCAAGAGATGCATTGTTCTTTCAGCGAGGCGATATCTTCTGCGTTGGGTATCACCCAAGGGTCAGGAATCTCAGGGAGCAGTGATGCGACATTCGGTTGTTCAGGTCGCTGCCCGAGGACCTCGTCAACTTTCCAAAGCTCCCACCACCTCTTCGTCCCCTTCTCCAGGGCCAGCATAAACTTGATAAATCTACGATGAGTAGAAGGTGAATGACGCCAGAGTCTCCAGTCATGCACCATATGCACGGGCACCGGTGGAATCCTAGCATGACCTCCGCGAAGGCGGTGAAGCAGGGGAACACACTCGGGAAAGTCCACTCCGGCACGCTCAATCATATCGTCGGTGATGTCTTTACGAACCCTGCATAGTTGGTATGCGGACATTGTATAGATCCATTCCAGAGCAGTTGCAAAGGACGCGGCTCTATCGCTCGTCTCACGGTCGACCCATCCCGTCCGGAAAGTGACGGTATTTGTTTGAAAGATGACCGGTCTCAACTCGTGAGCTACTCGACTGCAGGTTTGCAGGAATGAGAGATCGATAGGAGCGCCGTTGGCTGCGCGTAACCTGCGCGTGCGCTGGTTATAGAGATAGCCGCCATCCTGGGCCGCATAGTAGGTATAAATCTCATCCCGTAACTCTCGAGGCAGATCGAAAAACCCCATCATGGCAATGTTGTAAGTGGTGACGGGTTGCAGGATAGGTTGAATGTTCTGATGAAATGCGTGAGTGATGATGGACAAACAACGAAGGAGCGAGCCATGGACCCCACACATGTCGCCAAGAGGAAGCGGTAGCGAGAGCGCTCAACCATGAGCCGCGATGAATGAAGTGAGACTAGCGACATCGCTGTGCCAAGCAACACCGATGCCTAGAGCACTGCGTTGTCTCTGTGGCAGTGCGTGCAAGTGCAAAAAGCACGAAGATTGACCGAGACAGTGTCGGTTGAAGAATTGATTCGCGTGCCAACACACCTCAACCGGCATGACGTCTCTAGTGTATCGTAGATAACCCAAACGCCGTAACAATGCAGCCTGTATAAGGATAGAGACCCATGTACACCATATGATACATTCCGTCATTGTAATCCATCCGTCTCTTCTGGACACCCACTCATGATGCCATCACCTGAAGTTGGCTGTTCCTGGCACGTCCTTGATCTCCTCAAACTTGGTGCCCATCTTCACGACGCTGTATCTTATCAAACGAGGGTCCAAGCTCATGGTTCGGCGTAAAGCGTGCTGTGCGCGGGCACTCGCATCGAAGCGCATGATGAAGTGGTGGCCGTAGTGGTGTGTGGTTTGCAGCTTCTTCGCTGGCTTGGGAAGGAGGAAGGTGCCCCAGTTGGAGACGCCGCGGACTACGCCTTGTTGGTCGAGGACAATCTTTCCGGCGGTTTTGGCGATTCTGGAACATGTCGGGTCAGCGTTTGGCTGGGGATGTTGGAGGGCGAATTTACTCTTTAACTTCAGAGAGGCGGCCGGGCCGTACCTGCGCTTGTTAGCATGTACTTTTGTGATCAATGCGACGCTCCTCATACCACTCCGATCATCTCGTACAGCATCTTGCCTCGTTTGCGCCGTGGTGTTGCTGCCGTGGTGCCTTCCGTCGCGAAAAGTGTTCGAATGCGGCCAACCTTTCCGTAATCGCGGAGGAGCTCCACCAATGTCTTGGCGCGTGTTATCACCTTTCCAGCGCCCGCAACTTGAAGCTTCACAACCCACACACAATCTGCTACAATGGCTGCCCGGACTTCAATCGCACGCGCTGCGCGCCAATTCACCTCCGCCGCCGCGAAGAGGCCATCACCATTCGTCTGCCAGAGGTGGCAGCAGGCGGCTCAGAAGCCACGGTTATTCTCGGTATCTGCCGCACGTACGCACATCTGAAGCTCTGAGAAGCAATTGAGAGGCGAGCATGGGTGCTGACTGAGGGCAGTGAAGGAGAAGAAGTACACCGAGGACCATGAGTGGATTGAGATGTCTGCAGACGGCAAGACATGTATGCGCACCCTCCCCCACATCCCCACATCCCCATACGCCCTTACTGTCCAAGCGTTCTGTGACTGACACATCGCGTAGGCACCCTAGGTATCTCCGAATACGCTGCAAAGGCCCTCGGCGACGTCGTCTACATCGAGCTTCCCCAGATCGAAATGGATGTTAGCGAAGGCGACGCCATTGGTGCTGTCGAGTCAGTCAAGTCTGCCTCAGACATCCTCACACCCATCTCTGGCACCGTCGCGGAAGTCAACTCAGCGCTGGAGCAGACTCCAGGCAATGTCAACAAGGACCCCGAGGGCGAGGCGTGGATCGCCAAGATCACCGTGTCTGGAGAGCCAAGCGGCAAGACCATGACCAAGGAGGAGTACGCCGAATTTACTGAAGAGTAGACGTGCGGGAAGCAGTTTGGGGGAGGGATGGATGCATGGGATACAGGCACCTAGGCGCACACTTCAACATGAAATGCGAGACTTCAGTCAAAATCTCACTTTGCGCGTATCAGCTATCGAAATCGCCATACCTGCGAGAGAGAGAGTACAGAGCATTGACAGCAAACAGGATCGCATTAACATCCCAGAAATTTCGTACATTTCTACTCCAAACGATTCTCCTCTTCCCATGCTGTTTCCGACTCCCCAATCCTGTCCACAGCTTCAGTCACCATCTGCGAAACCTCCAAATACAGATCACGAAACGCTTTCTCTTTTCCTATACCCCTGCCCTCAAGTATAATCTTATCATCAACGACAAGATACATGACGTATGTGCTGTCGCGCGCAGGGCGACTATCCATCCTCCGCAAACGAAAATACACGTCCGATCTGATATCCAGCTGAGGGAAGTAGCCTTGCTTGTACAGCCAGGCCATGTTTGCTGTTCAAGGAGTCAGTAAACATACACAATGTTTGAATTAGGCTAAGCGAGGGAAATGAATGAGCGTGTCATGTTGATGAGGGAGATGCTCACTGGTCAAGCTAACATCGGATTTAGAGACCCGGAGCAAGAGCTCGTTGAATCCAATGGAGATGTCTTGTAGCGACAGATATTTGCGATCTGTATCTTGTTAGTTGATTTCGCTCTCATTAAAGTGGAGTTGGAACCAACGTACCGTTGGCATGCCATAGCCTAGTATCTTCGCGCTCTGCGACTTCCTCCGCTGACTCGGTTGAAGCAGATGGCGACTTCAGTGGGCTTTTCATGGATTCCGAGGGTTTCTCTTCTTTTCCAATACCCATGGAGAGGGCGACGTATCCCAGCATGGTCGTGGGAGGGAGCATACACAAGACGCATATCGTAGTTAAAATCATAGCTTGGTGTTGTAGATTGATGCACCAGAAGGCTTGTTGGTTTCGAAAAAGCGAGGACTGATGGTGAGTGCACACTTCGCTTATATATAACATCCAGCGCTTGATGTCTGGCTGTCGCTATGCGAACCTTGGGAGAGATGTTCAGGAAGCGAGAGTAGCCAGGTTATGTCTTCCACGCCCCAGAGACGACGGGCCAACCACACCTTCCGCAATTCATACGACCCATGAACAATTATATGGTCTCGAATGATAAGTATGGGAACTCTACAAACTTCTTCCCAGTGTCCCAAGGTTCACGTATCTAAGTCACACTACACTTCTAACCCTTTGAAAAAACATACAAATACGCCTGCCCGCACCAACACCTCGACAATTCAGCTAAAAACCTACAAATCGCACCGCCGCATACGTTCCTAAGGCATACAGCTAACTACGACATCTCATCAAAACTCCAACATGACGAACGGCAAAGCCATAACACCCGGCGAAAGCGCCCTCACTACAGGCCCAACTGCAGATCCCAATCGACCATCATCTCCAAGGTCCTTGGTATCAGAATTGAGAGTGCTGCTGGGAGTAATAGATTCCCGCCCGAAGCCCACTTTCGCACAATCGCAAGTCGCAGTCGAACTCAAATCGGCATTCTCACGTTATTTTATCATCTACGACGACGACGATGATGATGACGAAGATGATGGTGATGTGTGGCTGGAAAAGAGCATAGGTGCGCAATCTCCCGCCCCGTTCCGACTCATGTTTCCCTAACACGAAAGCCAGAGAACCTATCTTTCCTCGCCATAAACAACCGCTTTCCTCCCAGCCTTTCGCTGAAGGACTATGGAAAGATCGACGTGTTGACCTCTCTCCGGGGTCATGATCAGTATGCGATGCTCCTGGTGCACGAGAACAAGGTGTTGGTCGAGGGACAAGCTGGCGAACATGGGAAAATGGCCAAGGGCTTGTACAAGTCCATTGCGATGGAAGTTGGGAGGGTTATCAGAGAAAGGAAAGACAGGGGTGAGGGATGGGTTGGCGCGTGAGAGAAGAACGGGGTTCGTAGAGAGGACTGAGATGTTGGTGTTGGATATAGTGTGCATTGAAGACTTATAGCTATGTACATACCAAACCACCAGTCGGATTTCATCCTCCACCGTCCACCTACCCCTTCCTTACACCTCACACCTTCTACCAACAACCTATCCAGTCCACACATTGGGTCCAGGGCAAGTATACGTAGTAGCCTTGCTACCATATGTGTCAACCATGATTCCTGGGTCACTCTGCGCCGCGTATCCAGGAATGTTCGCCAAGTAGTCACCACTCGGAGAAACACTGCCAGAACCCGTGACTTCGATTTGTGCGCACTCAGCATAAAACTGAGGTGAGTTGGCCTGGTGAAGAGCAAGAAGCTCGTGACGAACGAGGTAGTTGCCCGGTGCGAGGGACGCAGGGACCTTGGACTCCCAGTACAAGTTCTTGAGGACCTTGGCGGTGCCCCAGCTGCGGCCCGAGAGGGGAGGTGCGGTCATGCCTTCTTGATCGATCTAGCCAGCGTCGTTAGTAGGAGACTTGGATGTATCAGACTTGATGATGTGTGTACCTTGAACCACTTCTTTCCAGAACCATCACAGCTCTTAAAGTCGCCAGCGCACTTGTACATCCAGACCATCACAGGCCCTTGTTCGTGGGTCCATTGCTTCCAGTTTGCGCGAATCTTCCCGCCGGCTGCTACCTTGGCGGAGAGATCGGCTGAGGTGCCGCCGTTGCACATAACCTTCTTGTCGTTGACGCTCATGGTGGGGTTGTAGTCAGACCATTGGCGTTGGATGGTCTTGGGTGAGGAAGGCGAGAAGCCTTCGTATCTGAGGTGAAGGTTAGGTACTAGTCTTGATGGTAGTGCTGAAGTTGAGGGATGGCTTACCCTGGATATGTCACTCCGTCGATGACATAGCTGGTAACGGCGCCGTGGGCTGCGGCTTGGGCTGCGAGGAGCGCTGTGGGTAAGAAGACGTTTGAGAACAGCATATTGAAGGCAAAAAAACGTATGTTTCGAGGTGAGATATGATCTCCATCCCGTCTGCACCCCAGCCTTATATACTCGCGTCGTTGCAGCATCGCCCTACCTCTACGCCCACCTCCACCGTCCAATATCCCTCATGATCACATTACTACAGCCCACCACTCACCTCTTCCTGACAAGTCTTGTCGCGCCCACTTCACATAAACGCGATAGTACTACCTCAATATCCACGTAATATACAAAGATGCTGTGCCCGGACCGGTTAAACACCATTGGCTGCACAACACTATACGTGCTTCGCTAGCGAGCGAGCCTCCATGTCGGCTCTTGGGTCCCGAGCCAGATCGAGAAGATGATGGGACCGCGAGCGGTACCCCGGATGTTTAATTTGCACGCGAAGGTGGGGATGTACGGCGTGATGAGGCACAAGGTGAATGGCGCATGTTTTGTCGTGTAAGCGACGATGTTCTGGAATATGCAGAAGCAAGCCACATGGGAAGCGGAAGAGGCGTCGGTGGCAGTGGAGAGAAGTTTTAATAGGGATGTCGCTTCAGGTGCTCGCTGCGAATGAGTGCAGCGACGAATGATCTAAGCACCCAGCCAGTACTCGTACAATGGCGTATTGGCTTTGTTTGTAAGAAATTTTTGTCGGGTGAGCCTCACACTATAAGATGAGAAGCATCTTCCTAGTCACCTTAGATGGCGAGGTTGATGTTGGCTGCGCAATCGTGCTAAGGACCGGCACCTGCCTGAGGTGTGAATGCCACGTGCAGGATGCGTCTGGGTGCACTTCGTAACAGCGAGGCGTGGTTGAATGCGACCTGCCATCTGTGGAGTACCTAGCAAGGACCCCCGATGACATCATGGAAGCGATGTTAAAAGTGATGGAAGTCATGAAAGAGCACTGCAGGTGTCAGCACAAGCACCAGGCGGAGGCGCTAGCCTTCACGCTAGCTGGGCGCACCTGCCAACGGGCCTTTCTTAGCACTCCGCGAGTTTCATCAACTCCACATGACACAGAGAGTGCAAAGAGCAAGATCATAAAGTGGGAATTCATTGCGAAAACGACTGTGACCCAAGGCGTGGTCTGGTATCTCTCACCCTGTCCAAACTTTGCAAGGAAAAACATAAGCACCTCCAGCGTACTAACAACAGATGATCTAAAAGTTCTTCGACGCTTCAACCCCCTTTCCGTCTGCTCCGTGCATGATTTCTTCATCGTAACGATCAGCATCGCTATCGGTGTAGGCGACACTGATGTCCGTGATCTCGTCGCCGACTTCCATCCAGACGTCGCTGGTCGCCGGGATAGGGCTGATCTTGCACAGCGCCCAGTATGTAATGCTTGCGACCAAGAAGCCAGCAAAGAAGTTGAGGTCATAGATGCGCTTCGCACCAATGGGTACGTCGCGACCGATAGCTCCTGCAAACCCGACGACGTTGATGAGGATACCAGCAATGTAAGCTGCGTAGCCGCGCCAGTGGAATCCAAGGGTGTAGTAGTAAGGACCAGTCTTCTTTCCAGAGTATAGGTCCTTGATCTGGAGGTAGCCTTTTCGGACGATGTAGTAGTCACAGATCATGACACCCGCAATGGAGGAAAGGAAGACGGAGTAGGCAGAGAGGTAGGTTGTGAAGTTGTTGGTGTCGGAGAGGAGGTTCCATGGGCACATGACGAGGCCGACGAGCGCACAGATGTATCCACCACGTCTGATACTGATCCATCGGGGTGCAAGTGCTGTCATGTCAGTTCCGGCACTGATGGAGTTCGCTGCGATGTTGGTTCCGAGTTGGGCGAGCGCGAAGGCTGCGGCGATGCAGAAGACACCGAAACGTTGCGCTGAGCCCCCCTCATCCAGGAAAGACTCGAGCAACTTCAAAGGATCCCAGATAGCCTCGCCGAAAATCACAGTGGACGACGATGAGACGATGATACCGATGAACGAGGTGATGGCAAATCCAATGGGGATAGTGAGCAGTTGCGGAAGGAAGGCGTTCGATGGCTTCTTCGCAAAACGGGCGAAATCAGGGTCATTGACGATCAAGGTAGCGAAGTTCGCAATGGCACTCATGATTCCGCGGACCATCATCCAACCAAGCGCAGATCCGCTGAGTGTACCTTGTTGGTGAACAATCGGGCCCAATCCCTTCGCACGAACGACGGCCCAGATGAAGAAGGCGACGCCAGCAGTCGGAACAACATAGGCCTTTACGGTAAACAGGTGGCGGATCTTGTGTACTGGCGGGTAGATGAAGGGTAGCGATCCAGCCCAGAAGAGGAAAAAGGACACAAAGGCGACGGTGGTCGTGCCGGAGCTGGGGATGCCGTTGGTGATGCCACCTGTACCGGGGCCCTCAGAGTCTCTCCAGTTGTTCCAGATGGCGCGAATCATGAGGCGAACACAAGTACCGCCAATCCATGCTTGTACGCCGTACCAGATACTGGCCATGGCTGCACGGTTGAAAACGGGCCATAATGCTCCCCAGATACCGAAAGATGAACGGTTGACAACGGGGAAAGAGATGTGGTATGTTGCGCCGATACGGCCAGTCATGCAGACAAAGCAGGCAGCGATGGAGTAGCCAAGCTATCAGTCAAATCAGCGAATGCCGGTCTAGTTGATATCGATTTCCATACCCAGACACATATCCAAGATTGCCACCATGAAAGACCGTCAACGATGTTTGCGGACGAGATCATCCAGGTGTTGATGTTGAAGGAGTCGGCTGCGCAGTATTAGCCTAAGTCTGTCGTTGCTTGGGAAAATGTTCGACGTACCGACCCAAAAGCCCACGAAATTCCAAGCACCCCATTGACGACGCTCCGGCTCGACAGGCTTCAAATCGTGGTTGAAGAGCATAAGCTGCGCTGTGGTGAGGTTGGGTTCGCTCTCCACGGCGAGCTTATCGGCCCAGTATGCGACCTTTGAGTTCTTGACTTTCTCCATGATCAGGCTGTAGGAGAAGAAACCTTCGTCGCTGGAATGATGTAGTGTCGAGGTTGCAACAGGCCTTATGAAGCTTTCGCTTCGGCTGCTCGAAGCCGCTGCTTGGTAGGATTCAAGATCCCCGCTCGGATGACGTGGGGTGCTGTCAGAAGCGAGTGAAGGTCTTGGTACGCCTGGTCTTGGTGAGGGTTGTTGGTGGAGGAGTGGCTGACGTTCAGGATCCACGATGGGTGGCGTCTGAGAGTAGTTGTGAGTTATGAAAGAGGTGATTAGATAGGCGCACTACTGCATGAGCGAATGTTGACGATGCTGAGGTTCCCATCTGGGGCACGCCCCATCTTAAATATCAGGAACGACTTCGCGCACCTCAAGATCTACCCTGGGTCCACTCCACGCCTAGGTGCTAAAGTGCCTCCGCATCGGAACGCTTCATGGTTGTGGTGGTTGACTGGTAGGCCCGTTCCGGTAGCCTTATCTTCGAGTTGCGATAGCCCACGCGGTGAGCTCCACCAAGATGCTCGCTGCAATTGCGCCACGAAAACTCCCGACGACCAGCCCCGTGTGATTCGCATCTGCACCCTGCATAGTCTCCGAGGATGAAGATGCAGACTTTGCAGAATTTGGGTTCTGGGCGTGTGAAGGATGGCAAGACAAGTGGGTGGATTTCCGCGGATGACGCAGCGCCATCGTAACAACGGTATCGCGTGCCCATCCAGGGTGTGTACAGATGTCTTGGGGACCATGCACGTCTGCACAGCTATCTCCGCGATAGGAGCCCTGCGGACAGAAATTTCGCTACTCTTTGACTCGATAGAAACATGTCACCACGTCCCTGGGCCCGGAGAAACTCTCTATCTTGCAGCATCCGACGCCATGATGGTTCGAGGTTGCGTCTCTGCGTTCGCTTGGGATGGTTAGCTGGGGTGCTATGGCAGGGAAGGGATAGCGGTTCTGCGGTAGGGAGATAAAGGCAATGTGGGGTATAACGGGGCGCCGCCCCAGCCACTCAGCGGCCGCCATGTCCAGTTTACTCGATGACATCGAGTAAACCGTCGGGCTGCTTATAACATACCTCAACCGCCAGCTTCCCTGCCTCAAGGCTCAGCTGTGAGCTTCGGCTTGCCAATCCCACTACCGTTGGCAACAACTTGCATGGTCATGCGCTTGTACATGCCTCTTGCGCGCTGAAGGCATCGCGCCAGCCTCGATTTTTCCCGGACTCGTATACCTCTTCGAGCTTTTCGATGGCTCGCATCAGCCTAGGTGGTTTCGGCGACGCCGTGCTGAGTGTGGGAGTCGCATGGTAGTACATTTTGCCCACGCCGAAATCGTTCTACATGCTTAGGAGTTTCGTATGGTACAAGCTACAGGCTGATCGCGTGCACTGGGAGTAGCGTGCAATGGGAGTAGGATGCACCAACCGATACTGTCCACAACAAAACGGAGGTATATGCTCAAGCAATACGTTAGAAGAGCCGACTATCGTTAATAGAAGGCACGTGGTCAAGTGGCAGTCGCTACCAACCTTAGAAGTTGATAACCCATAGCACCTTCCTAGGCGTGTCGAGCCCCGAGGTTTTCCCAAAGACCATCACGTGGCTGAAGAACAACACGATCCCACCCTTCAACCCCCTCGGACATTCGGACATCCAGCATCTCAGATCCCATCGAAATCTCCGCTGTTTCCAATCCCGAACAGAGGCCAAGATGTTCTATGCCTTGCGTGTTTACAACCACCATCTCACGATGAACGCGCAGATCGGAAACATTTGCCGAACAATGGCTGAAGTCGATACACCATGTCGAGATTGTTGCGCGTCCATCAAACATTATACGCCGGCTGGGGCTGTTTGTCTATCGGGCCGTTGAAAAATGCCCCAAATATGCAGCCTGGCTGGGTGAGGTTGTTTCGCACGTTGGCGTGTTTCAACGCCCGCTCGATGAAATCTCCCGTCCATAAGATCACAGTTCTAGACATGACGTTCACTGGAGCGTCCAAGATTGTTTCGCTTTAATGTACGAGTGGAGAGATCATAGCGTTTATTAGAAACGTATTG